CGGGCTATGTAGCTACTCGAGTGCAGATGAAATTATTGCGGAAAATAATAGCAATGGCTGCTGCTGATCACCGACCTTGACTTCTCAACAGTTTTAAATTCAACGTTTTCCTAGACTTGTTGTCATAAAAAGGGAGAGAGCACAAGCTAGCCTGCTTTTTACTATATAGATGGACGCAGGAGAATTAAATTAGATTCGTGCTTTTTTCCAATAGCATTTATGCAAAAATGAACCCAAGAGATGAGCTTGGAATTCGAACTCGACTCACCGATTCCTCGCCTATATCTATTACACCATCCTCACATTCTAATACCTTTGGTAAATACTCAAAATCTCACGCATCAGTCTTATACAGTTTCCCTTTATTGCATTTTGTTGTGATTATCTTTCAAAGAGAATTAAGCATAAAAATACCTTGGACACCTACGTCGAAATGTTGATTAAAACGTTTTCCTCGCAAATCAAAATGAATGAACTTTCTCTTTAGAGAATGTTCCATTAGCCTGGCTGTATGTCCGACCAAATTAACCTTATTAAACTTTGGCACTATTTCTTTAAAAAAAGATAGCGACCATTAAACATTAATCATTCGCCCCTTGCTCCCAACATGAGGACATAGTCTTTACTTTACCCTACTAATCTTAATAAAATTGGTAGGTACTGTTTGTTGAACAGAACCCCTGATGTCTTCTCATGCATTCTTAGACTCTATTTCGCGGTTTATTCAATGAATTATTGTATATTCTGGTTCCGAAATTTCCGTTAATCTATCACGGCATTAATACCGGGATGTTTGCAATCATCCCATCTAAAATATCACACACACACACACACACACACACACACACACACACACACACACACACACACACACATATATATATATATATAATAAAAAGGCTTTAACACTAATAAGCCTTTTTATTATATCCTTACTCTGTCCTAGACATTTTCTACCTGGATTCTTCCTCTTGGAATTTTTTCTAAAAATATACATGTATGGGTATTTATATATTTTGCATATGTATATTTTCCACTAATATTATATATATATATATATATATATATATATATATATATATATATATATATATATATATATATATACACACACACACATATATATATATATATATATATATATATATATATAAAGTACTAGAACAGACACCTACACACAGACATATATATTTTACACATACAAACACACATATATTTTTACACATACACACAAACATATATATAAATATCACACACACACACACACATATATATATATATATATATATATATTTATAAAGAACTAGAAAAGACACCTACAGACACATATATATATTTACACACACACACACACATATATGTATACATATGTAAATATATATAAAACTACAAGGTAACCCAAAAAGTTCTGTCGGTTTTTAAAGGAAAAAAAGAAAACGCTTCACAATATGTGTAACTTATATTTAGCCTTCGAAGTAATCACCATCGTCATCCAGCACCTTCTGCCAACGTGTCTCCAGCTGTTCAATGCCCTTGTGGTAGAAATCGGGGGAGGGGGGGTTGACGCAAAGAAGTCCGTGAGGGCTTTGCGCAAGTCTGCTTCATTGGTGAAGGATTTCTCGCGAAGATGATTATCCAGGGAGTGGAAGAGGTGGTAATCGGATGGCGCAAGGTCAGGTGAATAAGGTGGATGGCACAAAGTCTCCCACCCAAGTTGCTGTATGGTATCCCTGACCACTCGCGCGACATGCGGCCTGGCGTTGTCATGGAGGAACTTAGAGATGACCTGATACTTATCATGAATTGGCACTTGCTAAATATTAAGAGATTTTCTGGTGTGTTCAAACACCACATGGTATTAACGGAAGTTTAAGGTAAATAATGATTCGTCTATCTTGGCACCTATTTTCTGTATATTCTGAAATTCCCAAATGGTGTATTCAGTGGATTAATCGGACTAATATCCTCATCTCTTGCTGTTTCCCAATATTTTACCTGAGGTATTCCAAGGTTATGTTCTTTTCTTCATAACTCAGGCATTGCCATCATTCTATAACTAAATCGCATGTGTATCCTTATTTTCACTTTGGTGGTGTTTGTTGTTAGCGTCCGCAATCTTAACAACATAAGAATATGCAGATGCCCGGTGTTGATAGCATGCACGGTAAGGAAACTACAAAAGCTTCTACAGAAGCTACAAGAAGACAGAATGCATGGTTGTCATAAAAAAAGATGAGCCCAAAATACAAATTACAAATCAGAGATACTAAAATCAAGCAAGTACAAAAATTTAAATATCAGGTTCTAACATATTAAATATTAAGTTCTAACAGAGGACGTAAAGAGGGATAGCCAAAGATGCCTTCCAAAAGCTAAGCAGAGTATTAAGAGACAGGAAAATTTCGTTAGAAACAAAGAAAAGAGTATTGAACTGTCATGTGATACTTTCCTCCTGTATGGCAGCGAATGTTGGACAATCTCTACAAAGCTGAAGAAAAGACCTAAAGCAACAGAAATGCTGTTGTACAGAAAGATGCTGAGGATAGAATGGACCGAGCATGTGTGCAATGACGAGGTTTTAGAGAAAATAGAAACAAAAAGGAAACTTATACTTAACATCAGGAAGAGATCGTTGAAATTTCTGGGCATGTAATGAGGAAGGATGGCTTGGAGAATCTGTTACTCACAGGATAGATTGAGGGGAAGAGAGCAAAGCAAAACAGCGAGTAACATACTTGATGGCTTTGAGTAAATAGATGGCAGAACAGGGTTTGGGAGAAATATCAAAAATACAAAACTTATAAACAGCTACAAGGAAAGGGAGGATATTGACTACAATCTAGGTCCTGATTGGACACGGTACATAAAGAAGAAAAAACCCAAAATTCCGAATAGACTGCTATTCTTTTTTATCTTACACTTGCTACTCGTCGATAATTTCAAACTTGCTCGAGTCTATTTCCTTTGCTAACTTCCCCCACGACTCAAGAAAAAAATCATCAACGCGAGCAAAAACAGCCAACTTAACTCGCCTGGAGATTATCGTTTCATAAGAGATGATTCATTAACAAACATTTTCTACGTGTCAGTTAAAATTAAATCGAACAG